CAAAATACTTTCTATTATTTATCAAAATAATAGAAAATATAAATAAACACGTTACAAATATAAGTTTTATTTTTTATAAACATTTTTTTTTTTTTAAGAGTTCCAAGTTGGACCTCCAACTCGGGCTCGGCAAGGGCCCAAGCCCAAATAACTCGGCTGACGACAAAAGCCTTGACGACTGAAAAAAACCTTTATACAGCTGTTCCAACCCTTCATAAAAACAAGCAGCCCTTTATGAAAGCAAACCACTAGCTACTGAACCCTACTTTTATGTAAAGTCCCACTGTACCAAAAACCGCAGTCCACAAAGATGCTACGAGGAAGAAAAAAGCCTGTTTTTTTTTTTTTTTTGTTGGGGTGCGGTTTGTATTTAGGCTTTAAATAAATCAATTTAGAGCCTACTTTCAAATGGTATTGAGAAATGTGGTTTCAATACTGGACATTTTGGTGATAGCTTTAAAATATATTTTCATTTTTAGTTATAAAGTTCAAAGCTTCAAAAATAGTGTAGATTGACAGAACTATGAAATCTTGAAAATTGACGGTCCAAAAATGCGTTACAAAATACACTATCTCCAAAACTTGAAATCTATTTTTTTTCTCATGTTCATGCATCTTGATGTTGAAATGATCAATTTGAGTATATTTGGGCATCAAAATAACTTCTTCTAATAAATTTTTTGAAATAGACTCAAATTTAATTGTTTAGAACCCCGGCGCTATATAAACTTTTCCCTTTTGTGTAAAGAGAAAGAAAATCACCATCGAACAATAGATATCTAATGATGTGGCCGTAAAAAGTAGGGAAACCATCAACAATTGGGTTTTCGAGGGAGGTAGAACATGTGTATCATGTTGAATCAATGGTTTAAAAAACGGATCGGTGACCCGGATCGGGCTTCCAAAAAACCGATCCGGATCGACGAATCGGCGATCCGGATCGGGAATCGGGTGAATCGGTCAGAATAAACTTAAAAAAAATTCGAAAAAATTATTAAAATTCATTATAAATATTTTTTTTTAGGAATTCAATAAAAAATGAGGGTACCCCATTAAGAATCTTTATGTTTTTGAATGAATATGCAAATATTGATATGTTCTTTCCCTGCATGAACCGCCATTCAGCATTTAATTTACAGTATTTCGTGCTCATCCCTACACTGTTGCT